CCAGTTCACTCCTTTATGAAATGAGGCTAAACAGAGTACCAAGTACAGAGACTTATTCTTTGTATTAAACGAGTATTTGTAAAACACCTTGAACACTGCCTGACACATACAACATTAAATAAGTATCTGGAGGCTGTTCGCAAACAGAGGCTTTTCGAGAGTGAGGAACTCACCCTACCCAACTGCTGTGAGCAACTGAACTCGATCTGTTAATGAAGAAGAAGCAAATATTGGATCCAAGCTACACAGCAAGATCTTCTCCACACTTTGGAGTTTCAGATTTCAGTTTTAGAGGTGAGATGTAAACATGTGAGCCCGAGGCCCCTACACTAAGTTTTATTGGCTACCTACTGATACATGAATTCTACTTTTCCTTATGCTGGGTTCTCCACAGTGAGGTCCTCAGAAATCTTTTCAGTGCTATCTACCTCTACTTCTTGCTTAAATCCCACGTTCTAATAACTCACATGGATTCCTATACTCTTCTTACTTCAATTCCCTTAATTGACCTTTCTACTTACTCGGGGCCTCACTTCTTAAAGGGTCAGCTCTGCTCACATCTCTCCTCTGAACTAGTGGAGGTTAAAATCCAAGACCACTGAGATGGAAATATGCACAAAATGTTGTAAAAATAAACTATTATATTATTAAAAAAAAAAAATCCAAGACCCCCAGGGGATGTCTGAAGCCCCAGGTAGTTCTAAACCCAACATGAAGATGATTTTCCTCTGTCTATACATCTATGAGTGGATAGGTATATATATCTGGGGATAAAGCTTAATTTATAAATTAGGCACAGTAAGAGTTTAACAATAACAATAAAATGGAAGACTCGTAACAATGTATTGCAATAAAATTGATGTGTCTGTGGTCTCTCAAAATATCTTCGTCTTTTGTTTTTCAGGTGCTAATTGACCATGGGTATCTGAAATCATGGAAAGCAAATGTACAGAAAGAAGGGACTGTGTATTCCTTCAACGAATTCCCATAGTATCTATATCCGTTTTTTTGTGCATGCCATGAGAACGCTTTTCCTTTTATTGTCATTTTTAATGCCAGTGTCTCTAACTACATTGTAGCTTTGTGTATATGCAAAGGTCCCTCTGTGTCCCTCTGTACCCAGGTGCCTGGCTCTGTGCCTCACAGAGAACAAACAGTACATTTGTTTTTATCGATGATGATCTCAGGCATCAAAGTCAGGTTATTTTTGGTCTTCATCTCTCTCCTTTGGCAATTTCTTTCTCCTTTCTACACTCATCCTCCCTCCCCCCCAAAAAAAAACCTGCATACCTACATGCTCTACACTGGCTACTTAATACACTGAAGAAGATTATTATTTCCAGTGTTTTAGACATTTTTATTGTATCTACACTTGCCTGTTATTAGTGAGAATACCAATGTCTAGGAGGGAGAAAATTTGGTTTCCATTCTGTATTTTGTTGTTTCCTTATATGTAAGCATGAAAAATAACAACTAGCCTGAAAGCCTGCTTCTTTTATCTGTAAAATGTAATGATGTTGCCTATCTGGACTAGCATCTCGAGTTACTGTGAAAGTAAACACATGAATTAATGGACACAAATGACTGTATATATGCTTGGTTTGATTTCCTTAAGAATGCATCAAGAAGCCACAGGGTAACTTAGAGTATTACCTATCTTTGTTATCATTGAATTTAAAAGGAATTTCTGAAAACATACATCTCAATTCATAAGACTGCACTAAAGATATAAGAAAAGTTATTTGGAAAAAGAAAGTGCCATTTTTTTTTTATCTTAAGTTGATAATCATAATTCACTTCAACAAGTATTTGTTGAATGTTTCAGGAAGAACAAAACAACCTCCCTGGAGCAAGGGGAGGATAAATATGAGTAGAACACTCATTCTTCTGTCTTCAGAAAGGAAGAAGGTAGCTAGTGGTCCCCAGTGAGCTCTCATATGAGTTAAGTTTGGTAAAATTAGTGGAAGAACCACCATCAAAAGAGACAGGATTCATTCTGACTCTCTCTGAAAGGTGTTAGGTAGGATATGCTTTTAATTGGGCTACTTATAAGTCAGAGAATTTCAGTAGATTGAGATGTAGAAGATGCTGGAAAAAATAATGTGAGAATAACAGCATAAGGAAGACATATATTCTGGTAATAGCAAATAGAATTTATCTTAATTCCTTGAATTTGTAGAGTGTCTTACAGCTTCAGAATATGTTCATCTATTGTATCATTTGGAAGTTGATCATGTGGAGGTTCACTGCAAAAGCAAATTTTAGTTTACATATGAGGAAAGTGAGTTTTAGAGAAAATGAATGCTTTTTATATAGCCCTCAGTTAATTGTGCTTAAGAAGAAATCTTAACCTTCAAAGATTATTTCATGAAAGGAGAATTTGAGAGAATGGCAAGTAGGATGACTTATTTGCTTATTTTTTATTAAGAAATAGATGCTAATAGTAGTTCAGAGAATCTAGATAAAACATGCCTAAAGTGTGTACCTGCGGAGGTTTGCATGCAGCGGTGAGGGATTCTCTATACAGACAATATAGCAACACAATGCATGTGACTTTGCTCTTTGTTGGATATAAGCAGCAAGAACTACCAAAAGACTCACAGGCTAGTTCTACATAAACAAAATCTGGCTTGGCCTTTGGATGACATCAGTGAAGTCTCTCAATGTCTTTAAGGTAACTCCCAATTCCTACTCAGCTCTCTCAGGGACAGTCAACCTAATTCTAATTAAAGATTATATTGGAATCAAATGTGCTCTAGTCTATAACACCTAAAGAGAAATGAGAAATCGATGAGGTATCCATAAAATTAATGAAGACAATGATGGCTTTAAAATATATTTACAAACTATCTGATTCACAAACTGCCTTCAGGAGACAAAGCTTCCCTCCCAAGTCTGCCCCATTGCTGTGGGACATACTTAATGGCTGAATTCTAACGAATGGGCATCTCGATGGTGTGGTTATGTCACCAGGACACTAGGTAGTAAAGGGCATTACAGCTTTTCCCTTGCCTTCTCTCTTCTCTCACATGTTCTAGAAGAATGCAGCTATCATGTCCTGACAACAGCCAAGAACACTAAGGAAACCGATGTTTCTGCCAACACACATGCAAATAAGCTATCTCAGAAGTGGATTCCTAGTATGTTCCATCAGGTTGTTAGATTCTGCAGCACTGGCCATCACCAAGGCTGCACTGTTGAAAAATGTCGAGCTAGAACCATCCAGCCACGCCCCTGCCAAATTTCTGACCTACGGACATTCTGGGACTAGCACATGGGACAAATTGGTTATGTGGCGCTAAATCATAGGATAGGTGTTTAGGACTTTCTTCCGCCAAAAGGCCGGGGTTATCACTGAGTTTGAGTTGCAGAAACAGATTCTTTTCACTATTCTGTGATGTGACCTAGATCAGTAAGTAATGAAAGGGGGGGATAAAGTATGAAGAATCCTAAATCTGATTCTGTTAACATTTGACAAGAAATAAGATACATTTTGGAGTCTGGGTAACTGAAAAGGAGACATTTAAAACAGTGGGGGAACTGCTGAGGTCAGGTCTCAGGCCAGTACAGGCTGACCCATCTCCTACAGGAGAGGAAGCTGGACCGGCCAGCCTCAGACTTGCTCAGCACTGTAACCCGACCAGGCAGGGCTCTACTAAGTTTTCACCTAATTTGCATGTGATTAGACCCATCAAAACCCAACTGACTTCTAGCCCAGTTTGTCCATTGCTCAGTTGCTATTGATGGATTCTAACCTTAATTTGCATATCCGACCAGATTGAGAACTAGTCTCTTTTGCTATGGGAATAGGGCTTCCCCCATCCTGGCAATTTGAAAAACAACTTAAGGAACTCTTGGAATTTGTTTCCCAGCTAATGGTCCTAATTAAAACCCAAATCAACCCTTATATTTTGCTTCAAACATTCAATCTCTCTGGGCACTTTGGACCATTAATCTCTCCCCACAAAGAAAAAGATTTCATACTTCTCAAAATTTTGAATTCCTGTCTTTAGTATATTCTAAGTCTCTCTACATATTATACCCGTTTAAGTGTGACACAGTGATATATTTATTAAATCAGTTATAAATTGTCTCGTTTTAATGTGCTAATTTTGATTTAAAAAGGAATAGCTTCTTCCTCCTCGTTACACAATTGTAGGCCTATCAGCGACACGTTTGCCTGGGTGTATCTTTGCATAAATTTGAAAACCTATGCACTGCCTCAAATTCAGAGTCCTGCCTCTTTCAGAGAAACATCTCACAGCATTCATCTCATTGCACCCCATAACAGAAGCTGGTGATGAACTGGGGCGGGGTTCACTGAGTGCAGCTACCGAAATATGAAGGGGCATTTCGTATAATTACTCAAATAAATTTGACATATGAAGGCATGCCACATGTTTGGCAGAGAAAATAGAAGCTGCTAATTCTAAATACCCTCCCCTGACTCTCTTTCTCCCACTCACGTCCCACAAGGACATACAAAAGCCAGAAGCCTTCCAAGCCTTCCAGACTGTCAGGTACAGCCTAGGGTTTGGGGACAGAGGTTAAGGGCACGAAATGTGCGTCTATGGGGCAGCTCAAGGGCACGGGCAAAAAGCCAAGAAAATAAAGTTGGGGGTCCCAACTGCCTCTGTTCTTACAGTTCAGCCACTTTGGGTAGGCTCCACTCACCAGGCACCAGTTTTGTCACTTTAAAACTCCAAGTCCAAGGCCACAGGCTGACGGGGGTGGGGAGGGGGGGGGGGAGGGGGCGGCACTGCGCTTGCGCGGCAGTGACCTTGCTGCAGCCACGGGGCGGGGTCTGGTGGGCCCTAGGCGGGCCCTGGGCGGGGCTCGAACGGCCCTGGGCGGGGTCGGACCGGGGCCGGGGCGGGGCGAGGGCGGGGCGGGCTGAACTCGCGCGGGCGATTTGAACTTCCTCTCCAGGAAGTTGGGCACAGCGCACAATTTTGTCGCAGGATGGTTCTCCCTTCAGCACCCAGCAACTAGTGTGGACAATGGTGGAAGGACCAGGTTGCACTCTAAATGGAGAGAAGATTCGGGCGCGGGTGCTCCCCGGCCAGGCGATGATCGCCGTGCGGGCCAGAGCTCCGCAGAGACACGATGGCCCAAGGTTGCCTCCTGCAGCCGCGGTGCCTGCGTTCTCTTCCCAGGTGAGCTGCTCCTATGACGGGGAGAAGCACAATAATGGCCCCACAGGTCTCCTGGGTCCAAAGTGTCATCTCTTTGCAGGAGTCCAAGTACCCCAGCCCCAGGCTCCCCGAACCGCCGCCTTTCCCAAAGTTGACCTTGACTTTGGAGGATAGGCAACATAATGGCGAACATCTGGAGCTCTGGGCTAAGGGAAAGATGGCCAGATGGGAAATGATGTTTTTATTTTAATGCTATGCCACCTTGCTTAAAGGCTTTACACCCAGGAAAATATGAAATATGGTAACCCACATATACAGGTGCATGTTTTTGCTGTTAATATTATCAACTATTTGCCACCTCTTCTCAGTGTTAAGACAATACAATTCTAGCATGAAATTCTAGCTGCTCACTTTCCTAATAGTCTGGAGTTGATAAATGTTTAACAACGAATTTAGAGCTCTAAAACTGCACCTAGAAAGTTTAGCACAAAACTTCCCACTCAACTTCATCTCGCCTTCTAATCAAGGGGCAGTAGAACCTAGTTCTGATTGCCTTAAGTCAATTTATTTCTTTTTAAAGTAAAGTGTAACACAGCTTCTTGCCACTCAGGCATTCATTGCAGATGGTGTGATATTCATTTGGTAAGAATTTAGAACTTATACTAAAAATATTCTGATTAAGCCATCATGCTGTAAAAGGCTTTTAGATGTGTAGGAGATTGTATTTCGTGGATGCATGCCATGTTGTGGGGTGCTTCAATTTCTCCTACAAAGCTTCCTCATAGCCTTTGGTCCTGCAAGAAAAAGTTGCCTGCTGTGAAATTAGCATATGCTTATAGCATGAGAGAAATGAGATTCTAACTCTGAGAAAATACATTTCAAACTTAGAGAAAGAATAACTTTTATTTACTTTAATTTTATATGTCAGTGAGTACTCTGCACCTATTCTTTTATTGTAAGTGCTTCTCAAAATCATTTCAGGGCCACACAGAAGAGGATCTTGAGTGGTTTCTTAAGAAAATTAATTTTTATAAAAATCACTTTATTTAACAAAACTTTGAATTCTCAAGCCACTGGGGAGTGAAACACATGCTTGCCCTTGTCGAGTCTATTCTTCACCTGAGAAGATACAAGAGACATTTGTTAAAGAATAACATAAAATAATATAAATTAGCAGTTCCCTGAAGGAGAGATACATGGCTCCATAAGGACTCATGAAAGGTCAGGGATGCTTAGCTGGAGGGGTAACCGTGAAGCTCAGGTATAAAGGTGGATGGGAGATCAACAACACCTGGATGGAGGCTTGATAGGCAGAACACTTTCAGCAAAGGAAGAGATGCCCACACAGAAGGGGCTGAAATAAAAAATGTGGCTAGAAATGGGAGAATGTGGACAGGAGGTGTTTTGAAATAAGACTTTATTTTAGGTGCAACAGAGCTTTGACATTTGATGAGATCCATTTACAGCTTGAGATGATCCCTTTCCCTGGGACAGCAAAAATAAAATATTGGAAGAAAGCCAGAGGAGATAGTGTACCCTTATTTAGGTGATTGTAGTAGTTCAGGGGAGAAGTGCTGGTGAGGGAAATGAAGAGTTGGCATCCGAAGTAAGGGCAACAGGCCATGGCAATAGATGGGACATGAATATATTTATTGATATCATAATTTATAGCACTCAATAGTAATGTCTTTTGTGTTAGGTTTTATGCTCGCTCCTGGGGATAGGAAGATGATAAGATAAAATGTCCTGCTGTACGAAGCCAACTAAATGTTTTAAAATAATTTCACCTCATTGATATTTAGGCCAAAATAGCATGAACATTTCCTTTTAAATTTGTTGTGATCAGCTTTCCTGGCAAGGCAGAAAGGGTTTTTGAAGAACTTTTACATTCCATTTAGTTTTGAGAAATAATGAGCCTATGATAAATGATTAGCGTGAGTCTATAGATGAGGAATGTGAGGCTCAGAGTGAGTTTAAATAAATTACAGAACTATTAAGGGATAGAAACAGGCTTTAGCCCCAAAGCCTACACTCTTAACCTAGCGATAGCTTCTCGGTTTAAAAGATTCAGAAAGAAACTACCTAATACAATGGCATTATTGCTCTGTATATAGTCTTGGTTATCTGCTGACGGGAGAAATGAGACATTCAGTTTGTGGCTGTCTGCCACCATTTTTAGTTTGTTTGATTCAGTCCAATCTCTTACCTACTTTTGATAATTGTCTTCTTTTTTAAAAAACATTTATTTATGCATACAAGAATTGGGGCCAGAGTTACAAGGAGGTAAGAGGATTACCAGAGACAGAGGGGAGCAGAACAGGTGGATCAATAGAAATGCACTGCTGAGGGGAGCAGCAGGGAGACAGGAGAGGTCTGCTGCACCATGTGGGTCAGCTCCCTGGCCGGAGATCGAACTCATGCTGCAGTGGCTATAAATTGCTTCATAGTGCTGTACTTTATCCCCTTGTGACACCAGAAAGGACCTGATAATTATCTTCTAATAAACAGCTTCCTTTATTCAAAGTTCAAATTGTGCCAAAGAGTACAGCCTGATAATATAATACTTTGATAGTGGTTATGCAATTATTAACATCACTTAGAAGCGATATTCAGTGAGCTTTCCCCACAAATTAAAAGGCCCTGCACTTAGAGCTATTATGCTTGATACCTTGAAAGAAAGAGATGAAAAATTGGAATAGGTCTTTATAATTAGGGGCATGGTCTGGGTGGATGGAGACTGAATTTGAACAACAGTATGGAACTTAGCTGTGGGTTCTCTTCTTCCAGGAAGGTAGCATGGTATGTATTTAAATTGCATCCCAGTACTTATTAGTTACAATTCTGACAAATGGTATCAAGTGTCATTTGTGTGTAAGAGCACCTAGAAACTACAGGAACATGTGTTTTATTTTTAAAAGAGAAACCTGAAGGCAGTGTACATAAAATGAATATAGACAACTCAGAATATCAGTGGACTATTTACTGTATGTCTGAATTCAAATTTCTTACCTGTAAAATGTGGACAGTGATAGTGATTAGAAGAAATAGTATATGTAGAGTTCTTGAGCACTTACTGCTATTAATTTCCTTTTCAAAATATTAAATATTTATGATAAATATTTAAAGAAATATTAGTATTCATTAAGATGAATATTTTGCCCTGGTTTCACTTTTTGGGCCTTTAATTAAATAGGAAAAAAAACCCAAAAACTTGAAATTTCTTTTCCATATTTGCATATTTGAGAAAGATGCTGGATCCAGAGTAAATTTCACCAAAACTTGGTATGTTGTCACGACTTCTGGCTGATCATTACTGTAACGGATGATCCCATATTTCTTAGGCATTTATGCCTGAGAGGTAAAGCTATTTAAATGCTTCTGCTACTGGCTTAAAATCATTAATTTTCACAAGACACTATTTAAAAATAATTTAATAACTGCATAGTAAATTATTTTTTTAATTGAAGTAACATTGGCCTAGAATATGATAAACTTACATATTAAACTTACTTATTAATATCTCCCTATATTACATATGTCTTCACCAAAAGTCTAGTTAGTTACATTGCACTTAATAGGATAAAGAAATACAAAGGACAGTTAACAGTTATTTAGGCATTTCAAATAAAGGATTTAAAATTCAGATAATCATCATGCCAAAAACCAACTCAAAAAAACCCTCTTTGGGGCCCTCTCTGGTGGTGCAACGGGTTAAAGCACAACACTAAGAAGCTAAAGCCACTTTCGCAGGAGTTCGATTCCTGCCTGCCCCAGAGGTGACCACACTGCGTGACAGACCTCTCCTGACCCGCCCGCTGCTCCCCTCAGCAGCGTACTTCATTGAACTGCCTGTTCTGCCCCCCACTCTGTGTCTGGTGAAGCCTCTCGCCGCCCCTGAGCCTCTGGCCTGTGCCCCAGTTCTGTACTGCATAAATAAATAAATCTTTAAAAAAAAAAAAAACCCTCTTTGAGGCCTCTCTGGTGGTACAAGGGGTTAAGTCTCAGCACTATTGAAGCTATTGGCAGCAACTGCAGCACTAGTTCAATGCCAGCCAGGTTACTGACCCACATGACACAGCAGACCTCTCCTGTCTCCCTGCTGCTCCCCTCAGCAGTGGATTTCAGTTAATCCACCAGTTCTGCTCCCCACTCTGTCTCTGGTGAGTCTTCTTACCCCTGCACCTCTGGCCTGCACCCCAGCTCTTGTATACATAAATAAATAAATCTTTAAGAAAAAAAAAAAACCCTCCTTTGTCACTGCTCCAGTAATGAATCTGTTACTTATTTTGCATACACCATCCCTCTGATACAGTTCAAGATTGTAGAGAACACACACTAATGCCTGTTTCCCTGTGACAACTCATCCTCATTTTGAAGATGCCAACCCTCAGAAGTTTCCAGCACCTGCTAGTCATGTATGCACTGTATTATTTCTCTGAAGTTTGATCCACTGTTAGTCAGCATAAAATTATACAACTGTATAAGCATGTTGTATAACACTCTGCTGGAGCTTGTGGAACCTTATAATAAGAAGCAATATTGGAATAGAAATGAACATGTCTAGTTAATGAGCTATGAGTCAATCCTCCAAATTTAATTGTTGGGTGGATACAATATTTTAGTGAAATCAGTAAGTAACTTGCATATGTTTTTAATCTTCCCTCTTAAATGAGATATGAAACAGTTTATAAGCATTCATTTCATTTAAAGCATAATCCTCCAACTATTCCCTCACTCTTTAAGATTTGATACAGGTTTAATATGCTAGCTACCCCTAACTCATCTATAGATGTCCTTCACTGGACAAAGCAGGCATTTTATAAATGAAGGTGGAGAAGAGCAGAGTTTCTAATATTCCAAAATGATTAAGAATATAAAATGAATTCTTTTCAGTGTCCTTCATTATGAGTATATATTTTTTGTTGTATATGTTATGTGGAAATAACCACTACAGGAAAATAGTAAAGCAATATCAACATTTTCCACCTACCTTTCCCTTTCTAGTGGGGGAAATGATAGCT